ATAGCGTATCCATGAAGGATCCTCTGACATCGATAATCATGAACACATGTATCAACCGTGACGTCTCATCATCATATTTTTTTTAGTTTTAATTTGTGAGATCTTAGAACATGAGCAAACTCAAATTAGTCTAATTCGATTAAAATCACAGCATTTTAACATCAATGCAATTTGAAACATTTGTTCACTTCCAATATGTACAAATAGTACATTTGGTTAAAAATGGCTAAGTTGTGATTCTCCGAGAATTCGACAATTTGGAATAAAAAAAAGAGGGAAGGTCCTTGAACTAATTGGAAACATTCGGTATGTCTGTCATCTGGTGCAATGCTAAAAGGGTTTAAGCTAAGTTTTGGCCTATTAGGCGCATTCCGCACTTAATTCGTTTTTTCAAACGGATTCTTTTTTTTTCTAAGCTGAATGTTTCCACTATGGGTAGCGAATAAATGTATTCACCTTTCCATACGTACTGCTAGATTTGATGAAGAATTTTGGCCTCACTCATTGAAATTCAAAGGTGCTGCACTTCGCCCTATCGAAGGTAGAAAAAAAATGGATTCTATCGAAGCGCTCCTTTAGTTTTCGAGAATAATGAGTATAAACATTCATATCACGTGTTCTAACTGACTGCGGGTTTGTTAAGTTTTGAGCTAAAATATCGTATTATACGTATAATTGTTTCGTTTATGGGGTAATCATAGATATATTCGATGTTTTCTGCTCGATAGGCCCAGAATGGGCGATTAGGCCGGAGTAGTCCTATCCCCTATTACGCTTTATTCGTAAAATATATAAGTTTAACTTCGTACTATCCAGCCAACAACTGCTCTTCTTGTCTTCCCTGTGTTGATGTTGTGATGTTGCAGATGGCATGCTTTTTTACTTGAAATATATTCAGTATTACCAATCCAAGCAAGCGTGTTAGTCGTCGCGGCAATAGGTTCCTTTTCCGGAACAACAACCATGCACCGTTGCGGCAACGTTTAAACACGAAATTTATGACATTTTTTACAGCATTCATCACTGTAGCGAAGAGATAAGACAAAGTCTGCAATACTTTACGCACATATTGACAGATGCTTATGAAGTTTTGCCATGAGAGTAAATAGTTCAAACCTTCTATAAAGTAAAAAAGCAATAGGCAGTGATCCATGTCAAGGACTTCACCCGCCGTCTAATGGATATGGAACAACGTGTTCGACGTCACACTCGCTGTTGCATGATAACAGTAGGAGATGAAAGAGACGACAAATTCACATCGCCAAACCTGTTCTCCTTGACATGGGACAGTGAGTCGAAGAGCACGGGACTGACATCAAATGTTTCCACTATGGGATTTCACAAATTTGACAGTACCCTGGTCTAAAAATGTATGGCCCATAACAAACTTGAACAACACATGCAAATTTTGCGACTGTATTGCATATTTTACAGCTGTCGCTTACACCGCATGTGTTTGTTTTGGGTTGGTTGTAAGTGTGTGAGTGAGCTCCTTGGTCAAAAATGATACATCAAGGCTGGTATGAACAAATAAATACGCCATCCTAAGATCCATATGAACTATAAAAAATTGACCTTTGGCGTGGGATATCGTAGACTGGCGTCATGACGATTTCTGAACAATCGGCGTGCCAATAAAATTGTATCGGCGGCGGCGTGGCCCAAAAAGTGCCGGAGGCGTCAGCGTGGCGTGACGGCGCATACCTCTATTCCTGACATTACTGAAAATTATAGTAACATCAAACAATTTCGGGGTTTCTAGTGTATAAGGATGCTTCGTTGATTGACCATTAACTCTTAACGCTTGTTATATATTTTAGGTGGACAAAAAGGTGAACTTAGAAGAGGACGCCCTAGATTTTTACATTGATATCGCTGTGAAGCAAATTTAAACTCTAGAGGGACTTTATGTCTGAAATTGTAACCAGTTCATTTTTGTTTGCAAGTTAGATAAGTCGTCCATCTCAAACCTTTGTAGGGGTAAGAGGTGAGATCATCATAATCATCATCATCATCATCATCATCATCATCATCATCATCATCATATTCCATCAATTGAAACACTGACTCTTTGACTCTAACCAAAGAATCAAAAAATATCTCAAAATGACAAAATGACAAGTGATTCACGAGCCAACGCATTATCAGTAACGTAATAATGTAGTAATAATGACAATATCGTTTAACCTTTTTTATGAAAACTCTGTCGGATTTGCGATATCTTCAATCGTTCCGCGGGGAATAATCCGTTTAATTCACCCTTACTGCATCGCAGCCGTGAGTGTATGAATAATGATTTCGGCTGACACTCGTAAGTGTGTTAGTCGGTAACGCATGAAGCTACGGAGTAGTACGAAGTTTATAAATAGGGGTTTTAAAACCCAAAATAAAATGTACAAGGTGAATTTCAAAGTTGAATGAAATATTTAATAGATATATTATATTTTTATAAAATATTATAAATATATAATTCCCAAAATAAAGAATAATGTTTATCCTTCTTACGAAAAAAGGTATACATATCACTGGTATGTATCACTTTCTCCACAGGTATGTTTTATGAACATAATAATTAATTAGTAGAATTAAACAAACAATTTCATTTTCATCACTTATGATTATAAATCATTATTACTATACAATAGTAATAAGTAAATAGAATTCATATTGAATATGCATATTGTTGTTAAAATTGATTTAAACAAAATTTAGTATGACTCCGCCTAAATCGATTTTTGTTAATTTATACAAGTTAATATATTTGTCTCAAGCTACATCACGTGATGAAGCTTGTAGCTTGAACAACCTTCACTTTCTAGGAAAATATCAAGAAATTTTAACACTTTTATGATAAAGATACTCCCATTGACTTACTGTTCCGGCCTTATTACGTGTGTCACTACACGGTGATAAGGAAGTGATATTCGGAATGGGAGCCGTGATTACCGTACAAATGAAATGGGAATAATCACTTCACCGTGACGACAAGTGACAAGTTTTCATCTTGAAGTGATATCCGTAATAAGCCCCACAGTGTTGACTACATTCCCTATGCGTCTGATACGCAATACACATGTATGTATATCTTGCATATCTACGATATATGCTTGATAAGAAAAATTTGAAAATCAATGTTAGCCATCATTTTTGAATCGATGATGTCGACTTCTGGTTTTCGGAATGGTGATACACCATTTGATAATAATTCATTAAATCTATAACAAATCATCCTGAATTGAAGTATTAAGCACCGATTTTTAAAATTCTAAGCGATCTAAAATCCCAAACTAAGTAGAAAAAATAGATCTTGGAATTAGAAGAGTTTTAAGGAGCATTGACAGTTCATAATTCATAAGTTTTGTAAAATTCTGATGATTTGAATACTGAAGAATGTAATATATTACCATTATTTCCAACTTGAGTAGTTCTTTTCAGCTATGATTTTTAATCACCTTGTTTTACTCGCAATGCCAGAGCTTTGGACGATACCACTAACCAAGAAGCAAACAATTAAAAAACATAAAATGATACTTAAATACTGTAAAACTTTTTACTGATAAACCTTAATATTTTCTGAACGATATGATACAAATACTAACAAATACCTCACAAACCTTTACTAGCAAATATTTTTTTAACGATTTTACTTTTAAATTCAACTTGATGAAATTTGATTTCAGATTCAGATTCAGCGACTCAAATGCTGATTCTGATAGGATTTTTAGGAAAATTTAAAAGTTGCACATTTTATCACTTCCACAAAATGCATGGTTTGTTTGGGAAAACGTTACTAAAGTATTATTTAAAACTACTTAATGGAATGCTGTACAAATTATCTTTCAACAGTATCATGACAAAGGATTGTTGAGAAACGAAAGTTGAACGATGTGGTGATCCATTTTACCTCTATAAACAAATTCACGCCGTTTTACGGTTCTTTCAGGACATTAAAACGCAAAACATTTTCACCAATTTGCACCGGGTAACGGTACCACAATACTATAAAAGAAATGAAGATTGTTTTATAGTATAATTGTATTGTTGTAAGTTTTTCCTGAATTTGGATTCATAACAAATATTTTTATTGGTTCCTAATTGATATTTTACCGCATTTTCCCTTTTATTTTCTTTGCGTGGTATAAACTTTACCCGGCCTCCGAAGTTTGTATTTAATTTTGATACTCGCGATGAATGAACCTTCCATGGTATAAGAACCCACTCTAATGCAAGGAAGTCAGTAAATTAGACATTAATGAGAGGATTAAAACAATTGAAGTCTTATTATGCTTGAAAAATGTTACAACCCCTTGATTATATACAACTGGGGTCGTGGATAAAAAATCGCAACCGCTATTGCTAAACTAGATGAATGGAAACCCATAACTTGTGGCTTGTATTGGTACGAGGCAAGGAAGTATTAAGAAATATTTATTTGACTGTATGCTTAGTCCACGGCGTGTGCATTAGCGCAAAGACGGCTCTATTCAGGTGACCAATTTAAATATCTCGTGACTGCGAGCAGTAATGCCTCACGTATAAATAAATGGTTTCTCTATTCTCTACGTTACAGTTACATTTTTTTTTACGATTGTGTGTATGATTTTTCCCAGCCTGTTTTGCTCTGTTGTTGAATTTCATTTTGACGAAAAGAAAAAAAAAATCAATTTGATTTCCAGACATGGCGAAAAAGATTTCAATCATTTGTGGTTTGAGGCTCCAAGGTATTTTTCAAAGGAAAACTTTCTTTCCGTCAGAGAAAATCCATCTAAATAACAGCAAATGAGGTGAATCAAATAGACACAGCAGGAGAATGTAATTATAAGATAATCTGTTATGAATTGCTTTTTAATTGAGCAAAAGAATGCTATTTCAAGTTCTTTCACAGATCGAGGGAGAGGATATTTAATTTTTTATTCGAATTCGACTACGTAAATTGATCTAGTAGCAATAATTTAAAAAAAAATATTATGAAATGAAACACAATCACTGCTAATATCTACCTACAACATCCAAATATCCCATTTGGCTCTTCATCGGATCGGTGTTGATTTGACACATATACCAGCCCTTATCGCTCTCGCGAATGTCTCGTATCCGAAGTTGCCACGTTTTATTTTCGGTGAAGATTATGCCAATCCGCTTGTTTTTGGTTATGACATGACTCTGAATGGTCAGAATAGTCTGCGTGTCCACCCTTAGCCATGCCACCTGTAATAGAACAGAATATAACTATTATAAAATGGTACAAATATAGTCATCACCATGAATTCAAATTATGCTCTCAAATTGATCATAACTTCGCATAAATCTGCGTGTTGAGGAGCAGTGAATGAACCGAGAAATGCGACAAATTATTGAAAAGCTCCGAATCTTAATATAAAAGTGTGTAATGAAGTAATTAAAAAAAAACAAAAAACAAATATTGGTTCATCTCAATACTGCTTAGTTCTATTCATTTAATAAAACCGGTAAGGGAGGGTGGGGATACTTGATCCGGGAGAGAGCTGGTCTCCCTAGGTTATTTCTATGACGATGCGTTGAACGTAATGTATAATTTCTATAAGATAATATTTAAAATGATTCTAACAGATAGACGCAACAATGTTTTCATGTGAGTAATGAGTATTTGTTGTTTCAACGGGTAGAATATTTTTTTAAGGCACATGAAAAATTGTTTTTTTTTTCTCTTTGATTTGTTTTCCGTCGATCTTGTTTTCCGTGCTGAGCACCAATGCTACCGACGCCGGGGAGGCAGCTCCAACACCTAGGCCCTACCTATCGACCCATCAGCTCATGAACCGGGGACCAACGGCTTTACTATGCCTCAGAACATCCCGGCGGCGCCGACTGAGATTGAACCCAGGCCTGCTGGGGTGAGAGTTAATCACGCTTACGACTACACCACCGGCGCCGCTATGGAAAATTATTTTTTGGACTGTGAAAATTAGAAATGCCCTTTGTTTATTAAACGTATACATCCCGAAGCCATTTGGAACAAACTCAGGTTAGGTCAACGGTTGAAAATGTTATTTTCGTACGCGCGCCTTAAGCGGAGGTTCTCATTCAAAATTTTCAAAATAATGTTTTTTTTTTGTTATTGCATTTTTTGAAAGGTACAAGTGTCTACTAAATTTTGTTGAAAGTGTTTTTCGATCCGCGCACAAGAAAAGTTTCTACATGTCATTGTTCGAAGCGGCGTCCTGGCCGCCATGTGACTGTGTGCCAAAACTTTAAACGTGTTTATGTCGAAACATGATTTTTCAAAACTGCGTACAATCTCATTTGAAAACGGTTCAACCTAACGACTTCTACCTGAAATAAAACCTTTTTCATTGAAGGGACGACATATAAAATCTATAAATTCTTTGCATTCACTATTTTTTCTGAAGCCTTCAAGAGGAAAAAAGAGTTGAAAATTCGACCAAAAAGTTTGAGATCGCACCATTTTGTTAAATTTGAAGTTTTTTTTTCAGCTCTTAGGTCATTCCTCCATCAAATTTAGTTCATTTTAAATCCTCATTTATCGTGTTGTGATTCAGATCGATCCTGAGGTGCAACGCTGTACGCAGTTTGACAATTCCAGGCGTACACTACCTTACTCAAAACGTGACCACGGGTGCACTTTTGTTTTTTTTTTCCTTGTAAAGCTTTGGAAATAAAGAAGAAGTTCTAAGCTTTTTGAATTTTAACTCTGCGTCCTTCTATGATTTTTCATTGGCCCACAAAACACTTTGCTTACTTTTTGGCCATTTGAATGAGAACTTCCCTTTAACAAGTTATTTTAATGATATCAAGTCGCAATCTCTGATCACGCCTTCCTTCGGAAAGGAAGTAAAACCGTTAGTCCCCGGTTCATCAATTGATGGGTCGATAGGTAGGGTCCAGGTGTGGCAGCTGCCTCCCTGGCGTCGGTAGCATTGGTAGCATTGCTCAGTACGGAAAACAAGATCGACGGAAAAAAAAGAACAATGGATTAGGTCCTACATAACATTGATTGATTCTCTTCCTCGATTTTCTCTTTACATCCCCACGGCAATGAATAAACATTCCCAGTTATTTTCAGCAAAAAACAAATCAAATTTAAATTAAATATTCCTAGCGCCACCTGTAGCTTGTTGTTATTTAAAAATAAAATCATCATTTTTAATTCCCCCGCCGAATTTGATGTTGCATAAAAATTAGAAAATAAATCAAGTTTATAAAGATTGCCTTCATTTAAACTAATAATAACAATTTTGTCAAACACTTCATGACTTCCCATGGCGCCTGTCTCAGAGAACTTAGATTTTTTTTTGATTCAACTTGCTGATACATCACAAGAAAGGTGTGTGTTATGTTTATGGAATTTAATTTTTTTTTTCTAATGTGTATGAAACAATAGGAGGGCGTTAATAGTAAAGGTCTAGCATGAGGAGAATCAGGAGGGCGCATGGGGTATAGAAACACAAATCATTTGGAGGGACCATGGCCTCAACCGCCCCCCCCCCTTGCACACGCCACTGTTCAGGATGCATCTGGACTGGACACAGAGTATTTCAATTTGTTTATTGTGAAGTCCACCTGATTCGACGTGATCTTAAAGCTTCTCAGAGACTAAAGGTTGAGCAAGGTTGACTAACCTTTCCCCTAGCACATACCAAACTCTAGTAGTGCTCGCTGGATGGAATGCTTGATGTAACTCTAAGACTAGTAGGGCCCGAAAAAACGTGCTTAACTTTTTGGCTCAGCTCTGGTACTATCTTCGGTCCCAAGCTAATCGATGCACTCCTCGAAACATAGGAAAATCCACGAACCCCGCATTTTATCTGTCATACTTTCATAGCGAATCAAAACAAACATTGTGTAGTACTAGAATTTTGACTAGAATGGGGTACGTTAATCGATTTGCTTGGGACCAATAGGATAGCCAAGTAGTGAGCCAATTTAAAAACGTTAGTTTCAACCGGTTGGGTTGGTACAACCAACAATCAATAGGAAACTAACGATTTTAAATTGGCTCACTACTTGACTAGCCTATTTGTCCCAAGCAAACGATTAACGTACCGCATTCTAGTCGAAATTCTAGTACTACGCAATGTTTGTTTTGATTCGCTATGAAAGTTTGACAGATAAAATGAGGGGTTATTGGTTTTTCCTATGTTTCGAGGGGTGAATCGATTAGCTTGGGACCGAAGAGAGTACCAGAGCTGAGCCAAAAAGTTGAGCAAGTTATTTCGGGACCTTCTAGTCTTAGAGTTACCTCTATGGTACAACGGTAGAACAATCATGTTTATCGATGGTATTTTGCTAAATATAAAAAAAACTCAAATGAGGTCATTGCATTTGAAATGCTGTAACTCATTCAAAAATAACATTTTGGTTATTTTAACTGTGCTTTTTATCCTGATGGGTAAGTTAGGGGTTCTCTCATGTATTTTAAACCATGTTTAACCATCTTCTGTAATGTATTACTTGATTTCAAAATCATATATTTCAACTAATTGCAAATTCCGGCACCGGTGGTGTAGTGGTAAGCGTGACTACTATCTCACCCCAATTGGTTTGGGTTCAATCCCAGCCGAGGTCGGTGGGATTTTCCTGAGGCATAAAATTCTCTGGTCACATCTTCCTTCGGAACTGAGTACTGCGAACTCAGCCGATTTTATTTTTCAAGTTAGCTATAAAACATCTTGAAAATCCTCCGAAGTTTCAAATTGTTCTGCTGAAACTCCTCCTCCTCTGCTCCAGAAATAACGTATTCATGGTATTGGGAGTGCACCTGCCCACAAAGCTCACATGACTCTTATAAAGTTTGATTACATTCTTGTTTCAGCAACCCAGTTTTGGCATTATTAATATCAAATAAAAACAGCTTTTCGAGCATCACGCTCGATGATTTACATTATCCGCCTACTAAGGTTGATGCTTTGACAGTTTCATAATTATAATTCTTAATAAGTTTTCAGTAGGGGGCTACACCTTTACTTGTGGTTCAAACAGTAACTACTTACGTGACTTCTGAGCTCTTTTGAATGTTTGGCTCCCGTTTGACAGTTTGACACGGCTCCCAGTTGACAAGCATTTTGAGTTAGTTCACAGTACTCAGCTTCGGAAGGGAAGTAGAGCCGTTGGTCCCGGCCCATGTGTGTTGAATGGGTGCGATATCCTACGCAGGTGTGGAAGCTGCCTTCCTGCACATTCGATTGCCGTCAATGAATAGCAATCGATGTCCGTCGGTGATCCCTAGTAGCACCTTGTTATAAATTGGTTTAAGAAACTTATATACGACTTATTTCAGTTATAAACAAGTTGTTGCAACTTTTTGGGACAGAATTGTGCTACTTGGGATTGTTACAAGATTGCGGAACAGAGACCGACGTTAAATAAAGGAATGAAGGACTAATGGCAAATAATCAAACCATATGATTCCACTAACCCCAAGGTCAAGGGTAAGTGGAAAGTCAACCACTTGTTGCATTGCAAACCTATGTCTTATGTTTCAGAAATTATCTATATATTTTTTTTTTTTTTTAAACTTCCTTCGGTTTTGGGATTTAAAAACGAGTTTAATCATGCCTCAAGATTGAAAATTGATTCAACTTCCCCAGTGTTCAAAAGAATATAATTAGTTATCCAAAAAAACAATTCTAACCATTTGTTAAAGCAAATCATTAGTAGCAAAAGCAATCTAGTTGTACTGAAAAAAAAAATGAAGTACAAAGCTTAATTGTGTATCAGAGTACGCTACTGAATGAATAATTTTAAGTGAAATATGAAATCAATTTTCTCTTTTCCCGTTTAATATTGTGCAATTATGAAAGATGAGTGACGATATAAACATAATATTTGTTCCAATCAAAGTAAATAATACAGGTAATAATTTCCAATTACCTGGTATAACACAAACTCAACAAACTATGAAAAAATATCAAACCTTATATGCACCTAGATCATGGACAACACATGTTAGCGTTGCTTCTCGTCCCACGGCGGCCGTCACGTTTATAATAGGAGCACTAAACTTTGGGTCGGTTATCGCTGAAAATGAAAGGAAAAAACAAAACATCATGCCATTTTTTTTTTTCGTTCACGCAGTGCTGAATTGTATGAATAATACTTTTTAACTGTGTCATTGCAATAGTTTGTTAGTATTCTGCAAATAGCGTCTTAGAATTATTAAAATTCTCATAATAGCACTTTATGACATAATAGCACTTTATGACATAATTAATAAAAAAAGCACTTTATGACATAAAGACTCTTACACATTGCATCCATAACTGATACGTTGCTTCACAATGACAGCTAAAACTGTTGTCTAATTGTCAGATTTTCAGAAACGTATCGTTAACGGATGAAATGTGCGTGAGCCTTAAGAACATGAGCAACACACGTATCTGCATATAAATTGCGTTACGACTGTGAAAATCACAAACTGCAGAAGCACCATCGAATTTGAATCAAAATTACCACATGTTTCCACTGTTGGTTGATTGCTTCTCCATTTGCGTGGTTTATTCATTTGAGCTATTTTAAAATCGCTAATGAAAATCGACATAAGTGTGAAATAATTAAACGAACGATAGACATACATTGAAAATACGAAACCAGACGATTACTGCTTGTCATAATGCAAAAAAGAAATAAACGGGCTCGTATTGTCGATGGTATTTGTTGATCTCCAGTACATTATCTGCATTGGTTGTCAGCTATTCCCTACATAGCATGAAGTTTGTTTGTTTATGGTATGCAGCTACAGCTTCAGTCGGTGACCCTGTGCTATAGCTAGGTATAGTTGCAACTAAATTAACGTTTGAGATCCATGCTCTCAGACCAATCAATGAGTATTGCAGCGGCTTCCCATCATCAGCCAGAAGTGCATAACAATTAGTGTTTGAAACAATAACATGATACGATACGTACGAATGTATATTATGAGTCCCGAGTTCTGGGGTGTTTTAGTATGTAACATTTATTTTTAAGTCATAATTTCCATTTCCCTTTAATGAACTATGGTGGACATATATGAAATTGTGCCAGGTCAAACAACATCTAATGAAGAGCTTTCAGCGGGTTGGTTTAATGGTTTACATTTTGCAATGCCCTATATCTGAAATTCTTGTACCGTAAAGCTAAAGACCCGCATCACATTTTATGAATCTTATTTGAATATTTTTTGTTAAAAATAAGTTTATCTTTCGTTAATTAAACTACAGTTTATATAGAGTATATATATATGTTTATGCTTCGAATAGAACGTATTCAGAAAAGATTTTTGAGGATGGCTTTGTGCAGCCTACCGTGGTGTGATCCAGTAAACTTACCACCTTGAACTTTGACACGCTTAAAAACAGAAGAAAAATGCAGCAATCTGAATTTTAGCGAAACTTTTAAACGGTTAGGTGGACTGTGCACAATTGCTTGCTTAGTAAAACTTAAAGATTGAGAATATTGAGACTACTTTTAAATTCTGTTTCTGTGTAGCATTTTTTGTCTACTGTTTAAGTTTTTATTCATTAACACAACTTATTGTCAGATGAATTACATTAAAAAATTAAATAAGAGCAGCCAACAGATAGGCATTCCACGATAAAACCCACTTTCAAGTTCAATAAAGTTCACATGAAGTTCGAACAGAAATTTCAAATTACACAAAGTTCATATAAAGATTCGGCAGAACATTCAAGTTCCATAAAGTTCAAATAAAGTTCAAATAGAGACCGCATCAAAGTTTCTCAAAAGTTCCGTGGAAACCCACATGAAGCAGTTCGCACAAGTCTTTGTTTGTAACAGTATTTCTTATAGGGTATGATGGGGTAAGATGCTCTCCTGGAGATAGATTACTTTTTTCAAATTTTTGTATACATTGTCAACATATATTCGTGGAATATCATGCAGCATTTTTAGTTCAGTTATTGATGTTCCTACGTATCTCTTAAAGGATCAGGTAAAGCATAATCCTTAAATTTAATTAAAATATTTAAAAAAATTAAAGGGTTGTGTCCTAGACACGACCGTAGTATGACGTAGAACCACACAAAATTGATGTTTTTCATGCATTTTTGACTATTATACTTTATCTTCAAATTTACAAGTATTTCAATGTTTCGGTTATGGTTCACTCAAAACAATTTAAACATTTTTCTTGACAAACAGGGTTGCTCCACTCACTTGCTATAAAAAAAATATTTTTCGGAATTATGCAATCATTCGATGTTATAATGCTGTGTTGCACTTGTAAGTAACAGGAAAAGGGTGTAAAGTATGTGTTTGACTCATAAAACCTGCCAATTTCACTTTGAGCGCGTCACAATCAGCGATCTTATGATTCGTGAGCGTTCACTCAGAGCGAGCGCTCACGAGTCGTAAAATCGCTGATTGTGACGCACTGAAAGCAATATTGACAGATTTTATATGTCAAACACATACTTCATGACCTCTTCTTGTAACATACAAGTACTAATTAGCATTATAATATTTCATGATTACATAATTCCGAAAAACATTTTTTTATAGCAAGTGAGTGGAAGTAACCCTGTTCCACATGATTTTCATTTGACCACACATAAACAGAATCCACTCAGAAGTACACATGAAATTTATACGCAAATGAATAGTATATGTGGTCACGCATGGTTCTTATATGTACATATATTAAGTATGTGGCCGACACATAGATATTGATTTGTTGATCACGTTGCAACAATTCATGTGTGGAACTCATAAAAACTCCAGAACAAGATCCTTAGGACGATCCTAAACAGTCCAGAACCCGAAATTTTGAGGTTCACCGCCTGGCTGGCCTTCAGCCTTTGGATGAGCGTCAAACGGTCTCCTTGGAAAGGTTCAGAGACCCTTGTCTGAGATCAGATCTTCAGATCATACGTGATCTGGCACGTTAGTTAAGTTAGACTCGTAGTTAGGTAGATTATCAAATTTTTCAATTAAAACAAAACACACCCCCCAAGGGGTATTCTGTCAACTAGATGAAATACGCAAATACTAAATTAGAATATCCAATGAACAAAGATGAAGAGCCAGATAGGCTAATCAATTGAAATGTAAAATCAATGTATACACCATAATCAACAGAAATAAACGAAATTTTACTACTACTACTACTTTTAGAGTCAGTGGTGTGTAATTCATCAACATAATATCATCGAATATGTCTTTCAAGCATTTTTTTTTTTCTCAAATTTGAAAGTTTTGGTGCGTTAATAAATTAAGGGAAAAACTTCTGTTGTTACTAATAATTGTAGTTTGCTTAAAATTTATTTATTTCCCGGAAAAAAGTGATCGTCAAAGTCCATGTCTTTTCGGATTATTTTTGAGGGGGGGGGGGGGGGAGAAGTTGTTGTGAAGGGAGGGGGAGGTTTACAAATATTGCATTTTCTCATTCCTCATTGTGTCGCATTCCTCATTGTGGTCACGCCGTGATCCACCTTTAGCCACTGACTTGGTCCTGCTTGCTGTGGCACGCCGCCTGAGGCGACAATGAGTAAAAGCTTGAGGTTCAAGCAGACCGATGTGCAACCAAACCTGATAGGATTTCCCGCCGTTTTTTATGAATGGGGCGGAGCAGAAAGTTTCTTTTGTGCAGAACATGTAAAATAGGATGGACTTTAGATGTTAATATAATTGCATATATAGAGGTACCAGATATGTTTTACAGTCAGTTGTTGGTAATCCGTCGAGTGTACAGGGTGCGTGACGAATTTTCGCAGTAAATTTCAAATAGCAATTTCTCATGCTTGCGGATCATGATTTAGATATATTTGGCAGCACTGAATTGCTCATACTGTTAGGTGTAAGATGTAAACAAACAGTGTTGAGTAAACGTAAAGATGTCGAAACAAAAGAGCAATCGGTCAGCCGCTGTCGCTTTGTTGCGCGCCGGAGTAAGCGTAATAGAAATAATTCGGTGGATAAATGTGTCTGAAAGAACAGTGTATAATATAAAAAAGGCCTGGTAAAGTGATAAAACGGAGAAGCTGCTCATACTGCTAATAAAACACAGAAATGGCTTGCGGAAAATATTTCGGAATTTTGGGAGAAAGAAATTTGGCCCCCAAGCAGTCCCGATATCAATCCGTTGGATTATTTTCTACGGGGCATCGTCGAACGGAATACCAATAGAACCCCTAACACCACACTTAAGTCCCTAAAAGCTTAAATCAAGGTAGTGATGACATCTATGGATTAAAACATTGTCAAACGTGCATATGGCAGTTTCCGGAAGCGTCTAGCTACAGTCGTCGAAAGGGAAGGCGATTTTTTTTCAATAAAATTAGTTACAACTTCCATATTTTGCGAAAGAAAATAAATCACATAACGTTCATTGCTAGAATAGCTAACTGGTGTAATTTTTCTCATATATGTCATTTACTGCAAAAATTCGTCACGCACCCTGTATGTCTCCTGTTAAGCAATTTTTTTTTGAAAATGTTGGCTCTGCATGTAAAAAATTAATTGTTTATACATAATTGTGGTTTGCTTAATATTTATTTAACGGAAAAAAATGATCGTCAAAGTCTATGTCTTTTTCGGGTTATTGTTAAGGGGGGAGGGGAAGGGGGTTTTACATGCACGTTTTTTCAAGTCTCATTCCTCATTGTGGTGGACACGCCGTGATCCACCTTTAGCCGCTGACCTAGTGCCACGCCGCCCGAAGCGGGAATGAGCAGAGGCAGGAGAGCAGCGCTGATTTATATCTTTTCATGTTCAAGCAGAATGATGTGCAACCAAGTGGTATTCGTTTATGATGACTGGGTTTGGAAAAAAGGCATATTTCATGAAAACAGTGATAAAATTATCATTTGTACATTTTCAATAGTTTAATTACAGAAAAATTGGAAAAATATTTATTTCAGCAGGTTCGTAATGTAATATCCTATCGATTGGCGTATTTGGATTTTAATTTCATCTATAAATGACAAAGTTACAAGCGTACAAAATCTAACACTCCTTCACCATTTTTTGATTTGCACCCCAGTATAGTCGATAAAGACGTAGTTCTACGTCAAAATATCAATTTA